GTATTCTTTCAACAAGAATTGTCTTGAATGCTTAAAAATAAAACAAAACTCGCAAATTTTTTTTTCTTTGGCCCCTTTCAAAATATTAATCTGGGCATAAAGTCTTTTTATATCGAATTTTAATTTGTTAAACTTTTCTTATTCGAGATTTTTAAAATCTCTATAATATATATCGAAAATGTTTAACCCTTTTCATAAGATTTGACTTATGGACATTAAACTGTAAAAAAACAAGTTGGAAAAACAAGTGTAAACGGAAAAGAAATAATTAACTTGATCAATGGTTTAATACTTGTTTTACGTAATACGATTAATGACCACGATCTGATTTATTGTTATAGTCCACTGTATAACCGATACGATTATTTTTGATGCCAAATTCTGGTATTTCCTTCTTTTTATTGCGATGAAATAATGTTTTGCACTTTTATCAAGAGAGAAAGACCGATTTTTTTTGGAACTTAATACTCTATCACAATGTGTATATCGTAAGAAGCTACGTGATTCGAATTATTTCTCGATGAATCTTAATTTTGTAAATAATATTTAAAACAATTTTATGTATTCTTTTAACGATTAATTTTCGATTTAATATGCTTTAATTTTGTCATATAATGGACGATATTATAATTCTTATATTATGTTAACAGTCTGTAATATTTAGAAAAAATATTAAAGACTATTAATATTAAAATATTAAAATTCTTTTCATTTTATAAATATCATAATAAGTATTTTACTTTAGATATTTTACATATTTGTATTTTACATATTTGTATTATCATGTACATTTTTTTTTTTATTTTTGTAAAAATATTTCGATATAAAAATATGTTAGTTTTAATGCTTTTAAAAGATCACTTAATCAATTAAAAAAAGATATCAAAAAAATAAGAAACAATCGTATATGAATTATATGTATCGTTAATTTGAAGATATAAATCGATTAAATGCATAACGTATTATTTTTTAATAAAACAATATTTACAAACGAATATTACATTTTATGAAATAATACGCATATGTATATTTTTTTAGCGTACGTGAAATATTATTCTTTAGCTTTGCATGTTAGACATTTACATTGTACAATCGATGTACAAAATAGCCTATGACTGTCACTTGCATTATAATCATATGACAAATCACTGGACGTAAGTAGCTCACTTTTATGTCATAAATGATCAAGGTTTCGTGAAACTTTTATACTTTGAATGTTAGCTTCTCAATAAAGGGTTAAATTTAGTAATTGATGTCACATGTACAACTCGATAAAATATCGATTTCAATCAATAACACATAAATACAATTTTCTTAACGTCATAAAAAATAAAAATAAAAAATATAATAAATAATAAGAAAGGATAATAAAAATTCTTTTTATAGCATAATTCCATTCCAATTGAATTTCTTTTGAAAAATGAAATTTTTGGAAATGAAATTTTAATTAATGTCTAATTAAATGAACTTTTCCCGATTAAATCCAGTTATCTGAATTTCTATTATTAAGCCATTTCATAAAGAATATCATTTTAAAAGTTCAATTTTAATAGAAAAATAACATTTATGATTATTTGCACAATTTTCACAATTCTTTTTATCATTAAGATTGTTACATAAAAATTATAAACATAATAGTTTTTAAATTATCATATTTCAAATTCAAAGTATTGTTTTTGATTTTGAATTTATCCTATATCACGTAAAATAATAATAAAGATAATGATAATTTTAATATTGATAGTTAATTTTTTCTTTAAAAAATTTATCGTTATCATTCCTGATAATTTGAAAAAAATATTCTGAAATGTTTTTGTAATCAGTAAAACGAAAGAATAGATCAAAATCTTATGATCCATCTTATGATTTCTCTGAAATTGCTCTTGTATCAAGTGGATTTCTTGACGGTAATTGAAAAAAAAATAGATTTATGAAATTTCTTATAACGCGATATTCAACGCAAAACTTTTTTTTGAAAATATAAAATAAGCCATATCTTGAAAAAAATTATGTTTAATTGGTGTAAAGAATAGGCATTAAACAATTATATTAATTATAACAAGTAATAATTCAAGTAATAATCATTAGATTTTATCAATAATTATCATTAGAATAATTAGTATTTATTCCAAAATTTATACTTTATTTTAAAAAATTATTATGCATTTGGTTAAATATATTTGGTTAAAAAAAATTTGTTAAATAACAAAGAAAAATTTCAATACAATTGTACAATTCATTGTAAATATAAATAGATGATATTACTTTTTTATGGAAAGTAGATTTGTAATATTTGACGTTATTTATAATATAATGAACTTATTATTTCTCTTTTCAGATAAAATGGAATTTTATTATATTTAATTGCAATCTGTTACCGTATCTATAGGAAAAATATGAAGCAATTTATCAGTTGTATAATCTGAAAAAAAAATTTCTTTTTAATCTAACAAAGATTTCGATATTTGTCTGATTAATAATTCTTCATTGATCACTCTTTTATCGCGTATCTCTTGATCATACCTTCGCTCTCATATTACTACGATTAATAAAACAATCGTAGCCGAACCGTGTTTCTATCGTGGTGACGATATCGGCTGGAAAAGCAGGTGTTTCGAAAGACAGAGAGATAGGGATGCGCAACAATAGCGTAGAAAACGAATAGACGGACAATTGTCACAGAGGATCCCCGCCTTTCTACCTGTCATGGCGTTAGTACTATATAACCAGCGTATATCTGATTTATGCCGAAACTAACCAAGGACGCACCCCAACCACTCTTCGGTCTCTTGCGTCCCATTGTGGCGAGGTGCCTCGTGGACCAGCCGACAGGCCACGTATACAATATTCGCGCGACGATTTGCCTCCTTTCATTCAGGCCATTCACCATAGAAGAGAAGAAAAGAAAACCGAAAAGAAAGAGAGAAAGAGAGAGAAGGACAGACAAGAAGAGTAACGAAAAAAAAAGAGAGAGAACAGAGGGAGCACAGGTATCGGTTACAAGTTGTTAAGGCCCGTTAAAAGGAAAGCTCCTCGGGGGCCTTGCGAGTGAACGGTGGAATCCGCGGGTGGTATACTCTTGACGGTGATGGCCGAGGTATCATCCACTGTTTTCTTTTTCACGCGTAATTCGTGTAGTCGATACGACGCTAGCTTTCAAAGCGGGTAAAACCCTCGTCTCAACTCCACTCCTAAAGTCAGGAAACTAATACCCGGGGGTCTATAATACGGCCTGGGATCCATGGTATACCGTACTTGAACTTGAATGGCACCTGTATTCCGGTATGCCGGTTTCCGGAACGGACACCGAGAAAAGTATCGGTTGCAGCTTCGACATTTTCTGGGAATAATATATTTCAATGCTCTTTCTTTATGAAGTCGTAATGCCGATCCCATGACAAAGTTATAATAGTAAATGTGGATAGAATCGCTAAAGATGCGGAGAAACGAGTATCGTATTTCGAACGATAATTTTTATCGATTCAATTTTATATATCTTCTCGTTATTTAAATTAAAAGTAGTATCGTTAAACATTTGATGCTAACATATATATTTTCCTCATATGTATACATTTTTATTTTCATTATTTAATATTTCATTTATTAGATATTACGTAAAATATCATAAATTTGAGAAAATAAATTAAAAAATTATTAAAATGAATCATTATTTCATTTAGAATTTTGATTTATAAAAAATATACATAATTCAATGATACAATAGAAATTTTAATATATTTTATATATATATAGTATATTTGTGAATTTCTATTTTGGAGAGACACAATTTTAAATAAAACAAAATAGTAATACTTACCAACGCTTCAAAGTACTTAATAATACATAATTCATTATTTTCTCAAATAATAAAGTCATTTAAATAGATAATTACTTCGATCAAGTTAATAATTATTAGTGTATTAGCTACGAGATAATAATTATATATGCATAAATATTATAGTAATATCAAACTATATAATATTTTGTTCTAGTAAAGGATTTAACTTGACAAAGACGATCGTTCATTTAGCAATAGAGATACAAAAGAGGTTAGATATGATGAGAGAATCTTGGCAAGGTTAACGTATTTAAAGAATGATCATAATCACATCGTGTTTCGGATAATATCAGCATTTATCTCAATGCTAGTGACATGTTGTAATGATTCATTACATGCTCGTGTTACAATTCCCCTTCTCTCGGTGAAAGAGAATTATCTCGTAAAATAAACGTTATCTAAAAAACAAATATATCTAATCTTAAGTGTTTATTACGCTATAAATATATATATTGTGCGACTAAAGTTCTCCAAAACGTTAAAAATTAACATTTCTTCCGTTTCCATATTGTAATTGTTGAGAAATCCATCGAAGAGATCCGTCGACACGTGAAACCTTCGAGTAGAAAGCTGCTCGCAAACAAACGAGCGCGTGTAGTAGAAATTGATTAATTCTCACTGGATGGTATATAATGGTATGATCGCGATAAATTCAAGTGGAAACGATTTTTTCTTTTTTCACTCGGCCACGATTATTGCACAGTGAGAAAGCGGACCGCTAATAAAGACGTTGCGCAAAGAACTTTTTGCATAATACACGGCGTATCGCGTGGGCATTCGTGTACAACTTACATTCGGATTTCCACGTGTAGCAGAGTACGGTGTGATGTTGTAACATAGTATGCACACTCTAGTTTTCGAATTTCTATAATCTTACGGAACATCTAACTGACATTTTAGAAATATGTAATGTATATATACCGGTTTTATATCCATTGTATCGCAAGATTTCGCATTGCATATACTCCG